CATACCCTTCCCCTGAGGAGAAACGGAGGGAGGGAGGGTACGGCTACGAGTAGGTTATGTTTTGTGTACTTCAATATTCCATGACGTCTTCCATGATTTAGTCTGCTGAAATCTCTTGTGATCTCACGAGGGAAACCCCTTTTACTTCTTTTTTGTTTGGATTTTTTTTTTCTGATCCAACGACAAAATTAAGAGTAGGCCCCCAAACTTGATTTGATCAGAGATTTATTGACTTCAATTAGTTTACTGCATTGCTCAGTTTTAATGAAATGTAAGAATAACAAACAAGCAACAGGACCGGCAATATAAAAAAAACAACAACAAAAAGGCAAACAAATGAGAATAATCAGACAATCACACAGGTTAATGTTATGTACATTTGTAATCCTGTTAACAGCAGCGCAGACAGTAGTAAGGACTTTAAGCAAACTACGACGGCTACAGCAACGAGAACGTGGAAAAACAATAGATCTAATTGACAGAACAATAGCCCAACACGTGCGTTTTAAAACTTTGTACTTTTCTTGGCCGTCCTTTGCAAAACAACAACGTGAAATCACCCAAATCTGCGTCGTCTGCGAACCGAAACCGCGGCGGCAAATTATTTTAATTTACATTTGGAACTCAAGGCTACTTTTATGCGTTATGTTGAGTTTGAGGTCTGGCGCCCTATGAGACGGCAAACACATGCAGCCATTTTCGAAATTCTAACATTATTGTCGCGAAATATATTATTTTTCCCTGCGCTAAAAATGGCCGCTCGCGCGAAAAAAAAAATTTCTGGCGAAGCGATTTGCTCACGCTATCAGCGTGCACTATCGGAATTTTGAGCACGCTTACGTATACTGAATTTGATTGCGCGGCTCTGCTAGCTATGTTCTAAATACCACTTGTTTTCGGGGTTGAGTTTTAGTAATCAGTCACTTATTGCTTAGTGGTCGATTGCTAATTCGTAAGCGGTGCTCCCATATCGACTATCGGTTCTTCCCTATATTTCGAGAGATTTACATGAAACGAGTGAAGGAAATTACTGGATGATCATTGACGGAAGTTCATTAGAAAACAAAATGCGAAGACACTTGCGAACTGAACAAGCCCAAAAAAATTTAAAGAGGTTGAAAGCGGCGAGAATCAGGTAAGGAAAACATTCCACTGCTCGTGTGTCCGTCAAACACTCACGAATACAAATAATTTGCGCTCTATCTTCTTTCACTGCCATGACTTTGATACCACATTGCAGATTTCTCCTTTCAAGTTGAATTCTCATTGTTTATGTTCAGGAAACAGTTTCCTCGTAAAAAGGTAGGTATTTATTAAATCGACACATAATGGATTTATGTACACAACAAATGGAAATTTCTCATTTATTTTTGTCACCTCGACAGCTGTTTAATGAAATGGAACTGATGAAACTTACCTGTGTACAGAAAGAATATCAGGCGACTCGTATCAGAGCTCTGAGCTGGAAGCTAGGTCTTCTCGTATTCAGCTTCAGCTTGGAGGTATCAATATTTGTGAATGGACAAATAATGGCGGACAACTTCTCTGTTGTCTTAAATGGCCACTACATATACTCTGACATCCCTTTCACTTGGTACATAGTCGACATCGCTGTCAACATCGTTTTCTCTTTTACGGCAGTTATTGGTAACACTTTCATCATCTTTGCGCTTTGGAAACTTTCCCCTCTATGGGTACATTCGGTGCTCGAGGCAAATCTGTTCAGTTTTGCATTGGCTGATTTTAGAGTTGGTGCAATTGTCCAACCTCTTTATATCGCGGCCGTCTTAACCTGCTATTAGTAAACTATTAGAGAAAGCTGTACATCTGCAACTATACTCATATCTTTCTGACAATAACCTGCTTTCTCAAAAACAGTTTGGTTTTAGACCGAATTCTTCCAGTGTCACTGCTTCAGCTATGTTTACAGATAAAATCCTTTCAGCCATGGACAAAGGTCAGCTTACTAGTGCCGTATTTATCGACGGGACTAAGGCCTTTGATAGGGTAAACCATTCTATTCTACTATCTAAGCTATGCAGTTTTGATGTTTCGAATACCTCTCCTGCTTTCAATATGTTTGAGTCTTACCTGTCCAATAGATGCCAAGTAACAGTCTGCAACTGCACAAAATCTAGTCCAGAAACCGTTCAAATTGGTGTACCCCAAGGTTCCATTTTGGGTCCCTTATTGTTTACGTTGTATATCAACGATTTACCAGATTACTTAGAACACTGTGATGTAGCCCTTTATGCAGACGATACCGTTCTCTTCATTTCTGAAAAGTCTCTGTCTAATATCAAGTCTTACATGAACTTAGACTTGGAAAAATTGAACGATTGGCTGAAGTTAAATCACTTGACGCTTAGCATAAGTAAATCTAAATTCATGATCATTGGTAGCAGTCAACGACTGAATAAGATTGATTCTATTTCATTTAGGGTTGATAACATGGATCTTGATGTAGTAAGTTCGTTTAAGTACTTAGGTATTGTTATCAATAATCGTTTAACTTGGCAAGATCATGTTGATCAAATGTTTTTATAAGATAAATAAGAAGTTGGGTTTGCTTAAACGTATTCCGCGTTATTGCCTACCTTTATATGCTAGACTGCTGTTTTTTAACAGCTATATTCTGCCATTGTATGACTATGCAGATATCGTATGGGGGGATAGGGACAATTCCACTTTAATGTTACAACTTCAATCTTTACACAATAAGGCTGCAAAAATAATTTTAGATCTGCCTATTGGGTCATCTGCTAGTGATGCCCTGAATAAACTTAAATGGAAAACTCTTGCAAGACGTAGGGCCGAGCATAGGGCAACTTTTATTTATAAATGTCTAAATAATTTATTTTTACATCGTTTTAATATAAAATTTAATAAAGATAAACGTGATTATAATACTAGATGTAAAAATAATATCCGTAAGAGGGCATGTAGTAGGAAATGGGGGCATTGGACCTTGACAAATTTTGCCTCAAACGATTGGAATACATTAGATGTTTCAATCAGACAAAGGCCATCATTATCTAGTTTTGAAAGAGCGTTAAGAAATGTAAATGGTTTGTAGTCTAACTATTATATATATTTATATTAGTCTATGCTTTTATTTTTTCTTTTATTTTAATTTTTGAGGACTCTTGTAAATCACTTATCAGTGAAATTGATATCCTCAATAAAGATTATTATCATCATCAACGGCAATGAACGGGTAATTTGAATCCTCGAGGACAATCGGGGCGATCTTTAATGTTTTCAACTGGATTCTACCACTTGTGTCCCTCGCGGCTCTTACAGGAATTGCTATCGATCGCTTCTTAGCATTACATTTCCGCTTGCGATATCGTGTATTAGTCACGAAGAAACGAGTTGTTACCTTACTTATCTTGTTATGGCTATTCACCATTGCAGGAACGTCGCTAATGGTGCGGAATCACAACTATTACAACGCCTTTGCTGATGCTGTACTAGCACAGTTCTTGGTTTTGACAACTGCTTCTGACTTGAAGATTTACTTGCGTCTTATACAACAAAATGGCCGTTTATGTCTATTAACCCCTTCAGAGACGTCCACTCGACATCACCGACAACGGACAAAATTCAGGTTCAGTGTAAATAGCTATAAACAAACCGTATACAACATGCTCTATGTGTACACTGCTTTTATTCTCTGTTATCTCCCATTCTTTTGCGTGTTGATCACCATTCATATCAGAAGAGTGGCGGGACAAAACCCTCGAGATGTCTCGATTTGTCAGTATCACTGTAGTTTTCGTCAACTCTTCTCTTAACCCAGTTTTTACTATTGGACAAGTCGGTTTATCGGCGTTCACCAAAGTTTTCTGCTGTTCCAATGAATATAGAAGCTCTGAAACAAGGGCTATTAATATTTTTTTTCTAGTTATCCTTCTTCCTTTTTTTTTTTCGGATTGTAATTCGGCAGGATTGTAAAGCCGTGGAGTAAAAATGAGAGTGTTACTCTCCTATTGTAAAAGAGAGGTAAGATATGTAAAAAGTATATGTGCAAAATGAAGGACTTAAACCACCTTCTTCATCCTCTTCTACCAACACGCTTAGACGATACCTGTCCCTACACCCCCAGACACAAATTAGACCAGCTTTACCTTTACAGAAACGTTACTACCTGTAGAACGAAGCGCACCGAAGACTTTTCCACTCTTAAGTATTTTTAACAAATGCGATGCATGTTCTGGTGTGGTGTATATATCTTGTACTTAATGTGAACAGAAATATACATAGTCGATCTTACTCGGTTTTCATTGTATAAAAACTCGTTAATTCAGTAAGTTACTGCAAGAGAGTTGAATAAACTGTTATTACTCGTTAAAGAAGGCAGAATTCAGAGTTGGCTTGGACTGCGTTTTCGTGGCGGGATGTCTTTATTGGGGGAGGTTGCGATAACTGCAAATACTCTTTCAGGAAGGAAAGGAGTGAGAAGAGAATCCAGAGTCACAAGCAGAAACGCATTTGACTTGAACAACGTATGATCCTGGCCCGGTTAGCTCATGTCGTAGAGCGCCGGACTGCCGCGCGGGAGGTGGAGGGTTCAAGTCCCAGACCTGACCAACAGTCAGGGTCTTCAAATAACTGACGAGAATGTACTGCCTTTGCTATGGTATCTGCAAATGGTCAGACACTCTGGTCTTCTCGGACAAGGACGAAAAACCCGTCTCCTGCACCTTCTCTGTACCGGTTAGCAGGGGACGTAAAAGAACCCACACACTCATCCTAAAGAGTAGGAACGTAGCACCCGATGTTGTGGCCTGGCCTCGTTGTCAATTATGCAGGCCCCCATCTAAACCAGCTTTAAGCTGAACTGGGCTAGCCTGTCTAAATGTCGCAATTACATACAATACAAAGATACAAATACATACAACAACAACATTTGAAGTTACAGCCTCTGATTCCAGCTACACTCCGTTCCCACTATCAAGGTCAGGCCAACTCGGTTGTTGGAAAATAATAAAAAAATGTTAGGCTAAAGAATACATCTTTATTGAATGTAGCGGATACCACAAGTACGTTAAGATGCACGAGCTTTCGCGTTCTCCTCTCCTCTTGGTACACGTACAAAACAAAATGATTAAAACTGAATAAAAAGGCATTACTGTTTTTAAAACACTTTGAACTAGTCCATGCAGAACCGCTGATAAAGGATACCTTGTTCACCCTACACAAACGTTGACAAAATCTACGAAACTGTGGTAAAAATGAGTTCAGTTACTATGTTATATTATGTAGTTCAAAATTTTGTTTAGTCTCGTTTTCCTCTTGGCTCGGATTATGGAAATAGATCCGAGTTACACGAACATCCAAAACAAATTGGTTAAGAAGTTTTCAACCCAAAACAAATTGAGCTACATCATTTGTATCATTGAAACTCACAACTTGGCTGAAATGATAAAATAAGACTTCCTATTACATGAAATGGCTATTCTAACGCTACCTGACTTTCGAAAATCTTCACTGCCTTGGAACAAGTATTCCGTCAGATAACATGCCCTTTCACAGAAGGGAAAACAAGGAAATGAAAGGAAACGAGATCTTTATAACAGAGACGGCGAGCACCTGTGCACCATTTACTGCGCCACCACCACTTCCTTCCGTGGAGATTGGTTCAGTTTCTTGTAGCAACCATTTATAAACGTCCTCCTTTCCTTGGTCTTTTAACATTTTGCCAACCTTCTCCCGGCACTGTTTGTGGTAATTATTCTGCCAATTAATCTGCAATAAGAAGCAAATGAGTTAGTCACCGATGCCTTTGAGAAAGCTTCATTTCAATTCAATATTTCGATTCCGATTTTGACTGTTCGTTGTCTATTGTTCTCTCAAGAATCGGTACGGATGGGAGGAGATTTGGTCCATCGAGAGAGTAAGAGAGAGAAGAGAGGGGGGGGGGGGGAGAGAGGGAGGGAGGGAAGAGAGAAGAGGAGGATACTAAGCAAGTAGTGTAATCCAAAGCAGAAGAATAATCCCCTTGGGGTGAAAGGGTTTGACTTCTTTTTCAAGAATTTCATAATCATTTTCTCTTTCTCTCTCCTACCCGCTTCTGTTATAGTCAATTTTTTCCCTTTTTCCATGATTTTGAACGGTTGTCTATGTGAAGTAATCGAATGAGAAGTGTTGGAGGCAAACTAAGCCAAAAAAAAATGTCTCAAGTCCTTCAAAAGGAAATAATTCGTAAAGTTGGACGAGAAACCAAGTAGCGGGACCATTAATTCACGAACCAAATCTCTATAGGATAGGTGTCTCCCCCATATCGTGTTTCGCGACCTTTGTTTCTCAAAGTTTACTGCGTGACAACCCTAATCCAAGACTGAGAAGAAACTATTAACCGTGATTGATCGCTCATTGTACGTTGATCGACAAATATTAATTACCTCCTCGGGAGTCATAATGCTCAAGTCGATTAGTTTCTTCCAATACGGCACCTGTCGATCAAACATGTCATGTCAGCGCATTCATGTGCTCGGCCCTCTTTTTGTCTTGCGCCAAATTTAGGATCTATCAGGTGTGATCTGACATCGGTGTCCTAGCCGTTTGGTGCGTATGTCAACGACTGAAAAATACTTCATTTAAACATAACTTCCGTATTACATCAGCGTTATGCTTGCTCACCGCTGCCATTAAATTATATGTTAATCCCATCCCGCCGAACTGTTTCACTCATCCTCTATCATACTTTTCCCTCTCATTATGAATAAAAAAAACGTTGCAAGAGCCAAGAGAAGAAAGACACAAATGTCCTCAGCACTTTACGAAAAAACTCCAAGCTCGACAAAACCAAACCGTAGGGGAAAAAAATAAGAATTAAAAGTAGTATTTCATTACCCGTCTTGCAATTACAAAGTCGACATTATTGTACTCACAAAGGACACAGGTTCAAATTTCACGTATTTAACATCGTTGAAGGTGTTCTAAGAAAGATAGACAATGAATACCATCGATCAACACAGTGTCGTTACCTCACAAAAGGTATAGACATCTTCTACTTCCGAAGAATAGAACGGTGTGTCAACGAGCTATAGCGATTGCAAGAATCTTAGAAAGGTATTATCTGACCTAAGTATTTTGGAAATGGGTAAACCTATTTAATGGCTAAATAAAGAATGCAATAGTTATGTGACTCCACGCAAGGTAAGACCTTAAAAAAAGGTAAGAATTTCTTTTTGGTGATAAAAAAACTCTCGCAGCCGTTGCCACACTGACAACCAAGGTTAAAAAAAAAAAAAACTTTTGTCAAAATTCGCATTTTTTTCGCAACCGTCGTTTGAGCTAATCATGCAAAACGTTCCCATTCTACATCAAGAGGTGTGTTTGGTATCGAGCTGAGATAATTGCTGTGAAGGATTCGTACGACAATTTTACTCTAGCTTTTTGCGTGACCAATCGCCTTACCTTGGTTTCAGCGTCTACAGCCATGATAACTGTTTCCAGTCGGATACCAAACTTTCCATCTTCATAATATCCTGGTTCTGAATAAAAAGGAGTCAACCAATATTTTCGTGTGGGAATATAAAATAACACAAGACTTTATTGCCAAGTAACTTATGTAAATCCCATGACCTATATGACTGCGATTCTCGCACGCACCCTTGAAATATATTCCCTCTGCTACGTTCTTTCTTTCTATCGCATACAGATAGGAGAACGATGCCGATGAAATTTTAACAAGTTCTGACTGCCGAGAAGATCACAATAAGCTTACCATCTGACTGGAACATTCCAGGAACGATAGGTTTTTCCCAAGGCTTTGGACAACCAACGGATATCTTCTGGGGTCCTACATTGTAGATCAGTAAATCAAAATAACGCTATTTTTCCTTTTTTTTTTTTTTAATCAGATTAAGATACTCTCGCCATTTTTCCAGCCTCACCTTCATGTACGCTTAAAAACATTCCTATTCCGTGTCCGGTGCCGTGCCTGTAGTCCAGGCCATTTCTCCACAATTCTTTTCGGGCGACAACATCTAGAAATCGGCCTGTTGAGAACGTGGGATGATATTAATTGGCGTTCACAACCAAACAAGTAGCTTTCTACCTCCCAAACATTCTCTTGCACCTCTCTTATCAATTACGGGTGCTACAATACCAACCTTGAGTGGTTTCCGGAAAAATAGTCAACGCGAGGTCAATTTGACCCTTCAAGACACGTGTATAGGCATCCTGTGAATCGAGATCGTGTGGCACATTAAATTCAGTCACCTAGTACCTTTTCCATGTAAAAAGAAAGATTTGGGCTCTACACCTTGTGGATCAATGACACCCTCGTTTAAATTTGTGTTCCTTAGTGTTTAAAATTAATAGAGTGCGATAATGAGTTTTAAACAAAAGTAATTGTTTTGGAGCACAAATTCCATTCAAACCTTTAACAATTTCTTTGATATAACTCTGTATCGATCATTTCAAATCGATAAGTTACCTGGATAGGAGGTTTTGTTGCTCAACAATCTTTCAACTCCAACAGACGGTTAAGTCGCCAGTTATATAGAGAAGTTTTCAAAGACAAGCTTGTAATTTTTTATCTACACTTCTAAAGGAACACTTGTCATAAAAATCTTGCATCTGTGAATGGATATTGTTCAACCCTTGCTCTTACAACGGCTATAGGTGAATACGCAGCTTAATCTAGCAAAACTATACCTTTTGATGAGCTGTAGGTGTCCCAAAGTGCACCGTGCGAGTTGTATCCGTAGTTCCGTCTCTGCACGATTGTAATTAAAGTAGTAAAGTGTATATCGTTAAAAAAATGAAAAAAGGGGGGTAAGTTTCTATAGAAAAAATTGGTGCGCGTAAAAAGGTAATTTCGTTTTATCAACTGAGTTGATAATGTTACTTGGCCACCGTAAAAAGTTTAAAAATCGACGTTTCGAGTGATAGCCCTTTGAAAGACGGGGGCTAACGGTTGAAACGTCAGCTTCTAAACACTTTATGGTGGCCAATTTACATTATCAATTCACTTGATTAAACCAAATTACTATGTATCGTTACGCCTGTTGCATTATTATGGTAGCTCTCTACTGAAAGCCAGAAATAATTTGATCTCCAAGAGAGTGTAGACGACTGTTACCAAACTGAAGTAAGCATTCAAGAGAGTCAATAAACGTTGTCCGACTGTTGCTATTTCAGTTTTCATTATTTAAGCGGGCTTCGAACCGAGTGTTTTAAGATTCCATCTGCCTTTCGAGACAGTGAAAATAGATATAGGTCGTTATGATAGGATATAACGCCTAGGAATGTTGAGAAAGGAATTGTTCCAACAGAAGTTTATCATACAAGAGGGGGGGGGGGGTTGCGAAGGACGCCTTAGAGGCACAGTTAACACTTACAAGAATTGTGATCCAGTGTCAACAAGGAAGGTGTTCTTATCTGTGATTTTCAAGTTTGTGCTCTCCTCCGGTCTATACAAAGCACATCAAACAAAGATTAACCAGAAGAAAATATTGAACAACCTTATTTACATGATCATCCAAGACGATCCATTCGTACGGTGCAAGACGTTTTCAAGCCCTTGTTAATTCATGTAATAAACTTTGATCACGATATAATTACAATTGTCAGTCAAGAATTTGTTAACTCTGGTTTGTAACCTCAAGACTAAAAATAAAAGCAACGGCATAAAAAGTTCCTGTGGTGAGAAGAGTGAAAAAGACTTCAACGGAAAGCCCGACGAAAGTTCGTTACAGTTTTTTTTAAATGGAAGTATACCAGCTAATAAAGCCTCTGACCCTGTTTACGAAAAGAGAAAATCGCACGTGCAACAAAAAAAAAGCGTCCATTTTCTTTGTTAAAATGTTAGTTTTTTCCACTTTGCCCTTTGTATCTGGGCACAAAGTCCCATTAGAAAGCATGAAAAAGCGAATTACTAACGACTCGTCAGTGAAACTTACCAATCTCATGAAACGGGTAGGAAGGTTTTAGTTTCAGAAGAAAAAGTTTTCCACAGCTGTTGTGTTGATCTTTTTTGTTTTTAGTAGTATTTTTGCAGTAATTTCTCAGGTCCTCGTATAAATCACGATGCAGAAGGTCATATAAACCTCGCAGAACCCGTGCACCAACCTACCTGTAATGAATAATAGCTCCATTTGGACCAAACCCAGCGATGGTGTCAAAACTGTAGCCCTTATAGCCCTCCTGTGCGCTGATAACATCAATGATATAAAGATGTTAATTTGGAAAAATGAAAAAAAGTTATCGCAAATTAAATAGCAGACCAGTTGGTGCCGTATCTACCTCTATATTCATGTCTGTAACACGGACAGTGTCGAGATTATCCAAAATAGAAAAAAAAAAAAAGACAATGACAGCAGAACTTGGGAAGGATAAAAAATCTCTAACGTGTACTACCGATAGTTGTTTTAGTGAGCCGGCCATCTTGAGGCCATGCTCTTGTTATGTTAAGTTCTTCGGTGTTGTTACCGTGACTGATCGACAGTACCACAATAGTTACAAAACCACGGAGTAATCACCTTTTAAATTCTTCCAGTTTAGCCACCGATGACAATTCTGTAATATCGTTACCTTTAGCCACCTACCGAAAAAGACACGGAAGCAGTTTTCCACATCATAACTGTTCGATTAAGGCAATTTATAACAGCCCTGATTAGGGTGGTTTACGTTTCTATATTTCTGTAAGGGAGGTTTGAACCCGCTCCCCCACTGAAATTTTTTTTTCCATTTTTATTCTAACAAGATTACCTCTGTTCAGTGCTTGACTTGGGTCTAATAGATAAAATACTTTTTAAAAATAAAGGAAAATACAAATTTGATCACGATAATGGATGATGATAGAACAGAAAAGGAAGGCAATGATAGATAGAACAGAAAAGGAAGGCAAACGCAACAATATCCCATGCCATGTGACACGCACAACAAAAGGAAGATTATATGATCAGGAGTCTGCAAGTGGAACGATACGTAGTAGATTAACAAAATATTACTAACCATCATCTACCATGATAACCAGAGATCCAGCAACTCTCTTAAAACAAACTTTTTCCTGGAGATTCATTAAATCGTTCCTAACCTCACCAGGTCCATACCCTTCCTCAAAGCTGTTAACTTGATGTTTATTGGTATTCACATGTGAGTATGCTTACTTCACACTTACTTACCTCATTCTTTAACCAATAGAAAAACTCTACAATAGCAACGCTGTCCTTAAGCTGTAGAAGAGGAAAGGTATATGTCTCTGTTAACTTCGCCACAAATAACCAATATTTTCATTCAAGCCAAGAACAAAAACAGAACAATAAATAGCGCGATTTGCTCAACGGTAGTTGCGTGAGGGATTAGACAGAAGGATAGGGAATACTTAAAGAAGACTGAGCCTGGAGAAGTAAGAGAATTAAGTGCCACTCCTGCTACGAGCGGTCCTCTTGACTTCTCCTACTAAAAGAAAAAAATTTCCTTAGTATTTTTCCTATGAAAAGGGTTTGGGACACATGGTTAAAAAATAGTTTGTTTCTTTTCCAATTCTCTTTTTTTGCCTCGCCACGAGCGAAAATTGACTTTTGGCTAGACCATCTGTGTAGCCATCGAAAGTGTAAATTTCACAGCTTTTGTCGAGTGCGCTGCGACTGTAATAGTGTACTTCACGGAATTCTCTCTTGCTTCAAGTTATAAGCTATATTCAGTCAGTTTACAGACAAAATATAGAGACTTCACTTAAAATCCTATTCATATCAGCGTGGTCAGAAGAGACCCTTTCCTTCGACCTTAATTTGTATATCAAAAATTAACAGATTTAAAAGAAAGAATTCTCAAAATGCAGGCGCAAATCGGGCTAAAAAAAACATATCGGAGGATCGTTTATACACCAATGAGGTCACCGATTGCCTCAAACCTGCGGGTATCTCTCTAGCTTTAATCCACCATCATCTTGAAATCAACGCAAATCAATATCTTTACTTAATCACGCATGTGTCGAACCTCATTTGCATAATTCTCAAAAATTACCAAGATATGTCTTTGACCGTTCAAACTTCGTTTGTTTATCTTCTAGGTAAACTATTTTAGGTTTTCATAACAGTTGGATAGAAAATAAAACGCGAGTTATCCTAAAACGTTGCATAAACATAATCAGTCATAACGCTTGCATGACTTATATTAAACAAAGGCGATCGGAAGGAGCTTCCTCGATAATTTTCCTTGAACCAGGTCAAGAGCCACGTACAGAGAGGAGAAGATCAATATTAAAGAATCCAATTTGGCTTTCTGGTCATTGCAAACATACTGTGTAGCTTAAAAGGACACAAAAACAAGTTAAAATACATGTACGCTGCGGGGTTGTTTACAAAACATTCTTCTGTAAGAATTTTTGCAGTTTCTACCGAGGTTTAGCACACGGAATGCAATCAACAGGCCCTCCTTTCTGAACATTTGCTGCCATCACAAGAAATTTTATGTTGTTACAGTCCTCAACGTTCTTGTGCGGCAAACTTAACCTTTTCCTGCGACTATCAAAACCAGCCAGGCAAATATTGCGTTGCGTGATTGTGCTAATTAATTCGCGTGTCCTGTGATTCAAATGTGAATAAATAAGTATAAAGTCGAGGTATATGAGTATAAGTGACAGGTCCCTTAGCTTCTGTTTCCACTAACTATCCCCACTGCGAATGTAACTTATCTCCGTATATAAAATACATGAAAACTAGATAATGTAACGATCGAAAGTCATGACATGGAATCAAGTACAGAGTTAGAGATAACCTTCCTAAATTTCTTGGAAACATGTGCATTCGTTACCATGTCACTCAGTTTCTTGAGTAATGTGGCCTTCAAATCTCTGCCTTCGAAAGAAATGTCAAAAATAGCACTCATTTTCCTCAGCGTGGTGACTTTAAACTTCCCTAACGTGTCATTTGTAATATGTTCGCAAATATTGTGTCCATCATATAGTGCTGGATGAGCAAGTCCGATTTCGGAAATAACATCCACTTCATCCTTTTTCCTTGCTTCGTGTTCGAGGTAACCGCTTTCTTCTTCGATGAGACTTCCGTCGTCGTCGTCGTGGTGGTCATCATTGTCGTTTGCATCCTGCTCTGGATCTTTTGGCTTTTCTTCGTTTCAAAGCAGAAAGCCTCGAGAAGAAGCTTCGAACCTGGCTCTTCGTTAGCCATTCATTTCTGGTGAATTTTCAAGTATCATTTGCCTCTCTTGCCCTTCTCATTTCTGCTGCAACGTGCGCGGGATCGGCTTTTCTACCTGTTCTTTCACCGGTTTGAAACCTACTTGAAATATACCCTTTCACTTTCTCGGTAAATCGTGTTCCACTGCCTTTCGGTTTCTGAGGGGCCCTGCCCATCTTAAACACTTCAGTCACTTCAACTTCGCTCGTTACTTCCGGTGTTGTTATCTTTGATTCAAGAGTTAGGGAGGAAAATTTCATTATCCAGTCACGTCTAAGGCCGTCGAAAAGGCTCTCTGATGCTTCTCTCTTGCTGTGCTCCCCGAGGTGTACATGATCTTGCAGTTTTTCTGAAGAAGTGAACTCATATTTAGCAGTATCCTTGTCCATGTCCTCTTTATTATCGCTAAAACTTTAGGCTATGATTGCGATTCGCTTTATGGACCGCGGAGCTGTGGCGAAGAAACCATGATTCTCAACTTCTCTGGACACAACGGGGCCTTGCTTCTCAAGAATGAGCTCCGGCTGAGCATGGTATTAATTTGCCCTTGCCAACTTCATAGGCTTTTAAGAGACGAAGATCATCGCTTTCATTGGCAAAATTGTGAAAATGCTGAAATTATTGATGTACTTAATTTTGAATTTCTTTCTATCACTATCCTGCAATTTCGCAAACAGCAGCTGACGATCCCTCCTCTTGTCTCACTTTTAATACCTCGTGCATGTCAGCTACCGTCAAAATGTTATGGCCCTCACTGCAAATAACTACGAATTGCCTCTTTCACTGGATTGATGATGCGATCGAAAACTACCTTGCTAGGTTGTGGCTCAGAAAAATCATACCTTGAGAATAAGAAAAGGAAGTATCACGGTTAGAATAACTGATCCATCAATACCTGTCATACTAATACAGACATTACTAGGTAGGGTTAAATTTTGGCTGCTGCGTCTATTACCATACCACATTCTGCTCACCATGAAAATGTTAGTATGAAAATTATACTGTAAAAGATTCTAAAGAAAAGGAAACAAAAGGAAAACTCCGCAGTAAATGAATACCTACTCAGTTGAATTCTCCCAGGATGTCCTTTGAGAAAGCAAGCATACATTCCCTACACGTACTGTACTTCTAGCAATAGCATGTGAACTATAGCGGTTTCAATTAAAATGTGTCTTAATCCGCCTTAAAGCAGAGGGGTCGGCGGTATGCGACGTTTTAAGGGTGGAGAGGATAATTACGTTCCTGCGGTGTATCATCAAAAGATTTTGATCAACAGTGTTTGAATTGGCTTTGAAATATCAGTTACTATAATGGACAGAAACAGCAACAAAGTTTTAACTTAAAAGTTCTAAAGTTGATTAAACTAAGAATTCGCATGTTTTGGCGTTGTAATAAAAAAAGCATTCTCACCTTACCTCATCACCTTGATTCCAGTGCGTGAACCAACGTTAGAGGCAGCTGCAATTAGATTGTTGCTGTGGTAACAGTCTGCGCCATCTGATCGCAAAAATAGCCTGTTTACGGTAGACTTGATCTGTTTGATGTTACCGAGGTTTTCCAGAATTGCGTAAACCGCTTACCAGTCTTGGGCACAGCTTTCAAAAAGATAAACATATGACATAATCTTAAGGCCGTTTTCCTCTGCATTCCTCATAATAACTGAACTGACATGCCAGTTTATTCCTCTCTTTCCGAACCATTCAGACTGCTTTTCACTGTATTTCAGATGGTTGAATTTCATGGCCCGGTCCACGACGATGAGGGAGGTATTTGTTTGGGGGGACGTGAGCAAATTCTGTTTTTCTCTCTCTTGATTCTTTGTCCTGACTATATGCGCCATCCACCGAAGAATCGCCTCTCTGGTTTCGCCATAGTCGTGTTTCACGTCTTCTTTCTTCTTTATGCCGTCAAAAGTTATCATGGGAGATTGAATTTCAATTTGGATTGCCTTAATCACGGATTTCAAACTTTCGCAACCATCACAGCTAGCTTAATGTTCATGGGATCAACTTCCTTGAAACTCGGAGTTTTAGGGATCACTTATAGAAAATGAATACGATAGTCAGGGCAAGGACTGCCATCTTGACAGTGCATCCCATACTTTTTCTTCAGGTATCGCCTGGCATCCTTCAGATTCTTCCGAACGTCTTCGGAGACGATTCTATCTCTGTCCGCTGGTGCGGCTAGGCCCTCACGAATCATGTTTTGGTAAAATAATAACCTTCACACCATAGAAATTGAAAATATATCACTCACGTGATCCCACTGGAACTATCATTCCAAAAACTTCGAAAACATCTCTAACCAATCTGGCTTTGCATACTCGGCCTCCTTTCACTACCTCACATTTTCCTTTGTGCTCTGTATGTTGACAAGTACTTTTACCACATTTCCAGTGTTTTCCCATAGCGTTCCAATGTTTAGAGCACACAAAGGTCCGTTTTATTTTTTCCATTTCGAGGCCAAAATGACTGGAAAGAAGCAAAATTAACTTGTACTCGAGGACTTCGCTGGATAGAGGGTAGTACTCCAAATGACTTGATACGTCATCCTGGCATTTCAGGAGAGATATCGGGACTGAAACTCTTAAACACCCACAGCCACTACAACCTTTGCTTTACACGAAACACGTAGACATATTTGTGCGACAAATTTCTCAAAACATATAAATAACTGAAGAATCTATCCTCTCCGCTTAACGAACACGTGGGTAGCAGACTTAGCTAAAGAGAAGGGGCTGGATCGAAGCATGCCGAAACCTTCACCCCCTCAAAAAAATTACTTTACTTCAGTCCATTTATAACTTTCGGTACTAATTCGTTACATCAACTACTTTTAGTTACAAGTTAAGATAAGACATTGATTTACATTAATTTCAAGACAATGGTGGATGAAAGGTAGAGAGATACCCCCAGGTTTGAGGCAATCGGTGACCTCATTGGTGTATAAACTATCCTCCGATATGTTTTTTTAGCCCGATTTACGCCTGCATTTTGAAAATTCTTTCTTTTAAATCTGTTAATTTTTGACATACAAATAAAGGTCGAAGGGAAGGGTCTCATCTGATCACGCTGGTATGAATAGGATTTCAAATGAAGTTTCGATATTTTGTCTGTGAACTGAGTGAATATAGCTTGTAACTTGAAGCAAGAGAGAATTCGGTTAAGTACACTATTACAGTCGCAGCGCGCTCGACTAAAGCTGTGAAATTTACACTTTCGATCCTTGTCTGCACGAGTGGTCTAGCCAAAGGTCAATTTTCGCTCGTGGCGAGCCAAAAAAAGAGAATTGGAAAACAACCAAACTGTTTTTCAAATAGGTGTCTTAAACCCTTTGCATAGGAAAAAATTAAAGAAAATATTTTTGGGGCGGGAAGTCGAGAGGACCGCTCTTAGCGAGAGTGGCACTTAGGTCATCAAAGTAGGAAAAGTGAAAAATAAGCCAATCAAAGGCTGATAGGTTCGATCTTCGTCGGTCCACGACTTTAGTTTTCGTTTCGCAAGGGAGAGGCGAGGGCTCATTTCCCGAGCAGCAGTTGATTATTGAGCCTGGAGCCCAGGGCTCACTGGAAAAATGGAGATAGCGTGGAAAATTGTAAAAGTAGGAACAAATGGAAGATGCAACAGAAGCTCCCTTAAATGTATAGTAAGACGTTCTTTTTTATCTCTCATAAATTTTTTCTAAAGGTGATATCTTTCATAGTTCTACCGTTGGAACCCTGTTATGTTTCAACCATAAAACATGGACGTCAAAAAGCGAATTGTGGTTGGAAGTATCTCCAGAGACAGTTTGCGTTAGACTTGTAGACTTGCAGTGACAGTTCTCTCTCTCTCTCAATGTAGCTCTAACTCAGGGAAGTCATTTCTGGGACTTGTAATCGTACTCAAGCCGGAAAATAGCCACCACTGCGAGGAGGTGGGTTGTTTCTTCTGAACGCTGCCTCCGGAGTTAGAATTGAAGGATAGAAATTATCGTTAAAAATGTTATAAACGGAAAACAACGTCAGACTTACGTAAGCGTTCTTCATTCCTTTGATTTCTACGGAGTTTTTGATCGACTTTGGCAATGCTATGGGTGAGTCCTTCAACAGTACCTTGTCTTCCTATCATTTGAAGTAAAAAATAAATGACTTGTAAGAATGTTGTTATTATTAAAGAGAGGAGAGCGGTAGTATACCGATAAACTGTTTACGTCCGAAATCTCTACATCCTTTAGCCCAAAAGTTTATTACTTACCTGACCTATTGCGTTCATGGCAGAGTAAGGGCTAGCATACTTGCTCAACTGGTGACAAAAAAAGACAAAAAAAAAACTGTAATAGCATCGTTAAAACACCACACGTTAAGCTATGGTTGATAGTCCTTATCTGAGAGCTCAGAAACTGGGTGACACTCGGGCAACCGCTTTCTGGTGTACCCGCCATTAGAACTCAATGCGAAAACTTACAACCAGCTCCTCGTAACCCTCTTGAAGGCAGTACAACGCTAGCCACTACACTTGATAAGTTTCCATTCAGTAAAGAAGTATTGGCAGACAGAATTACGATCGCCAGGATAGCGACTATCGTGATAGATAGTGCATTTAGATAGTGCATCTGTACCGGTCAGTAACTATTCTGATTCTAACTATACCAAAAACAACAAAATATGGTCTTGAGTGCATCCGATATCAAGCAGCAAAAACTTGGAATTCGCTCCCGGATAACATGAGAACAATTACATTATTTAAGGATTTTAAGATAGCCATAAGGAAAATGAACTTTAAGTAGTAATTTTTTATTATTGTATTGGTAGTAGTTTGACAGACTTATATAGGTTCCTTTCTCGAAGAAATTAGCTCAACAGAGCTACTCTGAAAATTCGAGTCGAAATAAAGTATATGTATGTATGTATGTATTTATGTATGTATGTATGAATGAATGTATGTCTGTATGTATGTATGTATGTATGTATTTATGTATGTATGTATGCATGTATGTATATATGTATGTATGTATTTATGTATGTATGTATGTATGTATGTATGTATTTATGTATGTATTTATGTATGTATGTATGTATGTATGTATTTATGTATGTAGTATGTATGTATGTATGTATTTATGTATGTGTGTATGTATGTCTGTATGTATGTATGTATGTGGAACTCATTGCTGTTATCACTGATTGTAATAACCTAGCAATGTTTAAGAGGAAATTGAGAGATTATCTTTTCCGATTATATTTTTCAAACAGTTAATGAAGACTGAGCGCCCTTTTATTGTAGATAATACTTAATATTCATTTGTAAATTAGGATTGATAGGTAGTTTTCCTATTGTAGACAATAACCAATGTATTTGTGTAAATTAGGACTGAAAAGCCTTCTTGGAGCCCTAATAAAGATCATTTCGTTTATATTTCGCACAAAATCAAGAGAAAAATGGTCAAAATCAATCACAACTCGATTAAAACCTTCACCGTCCAGTGCCATGCAATCTGGGTATCAACCAATTCGGCGTAATATCGTAATTGCTCGGGACTTGGAGGGAAGAACAGCAAACAACTAAAGTATTTCTTTATAACCGAAATGCAGTGTCGGAGCATCGGGACTGCGTGTGTGACACGTGACTTATATAGGACATTTTTACCACAAAATAGAGAGATTAAAATAGTAAAAGGCCACGCCACATTGGTGCTATAAACAGCTGTCTCAGGTCAATGAAATGTAATTCTGAAATCAGAGTACGTGCACTGCTCGTCAATATCACAGAACTCTTATCGCTGGTACGTCTCATTTCAGCGTCAGTGACGTATGCATCATTTTAAAAGACATTAGGAAAGCGGTTATGATCTATTCAACAAAAAAATTATGAGCTTAGGGTTTCTGCCGTCGTCGAGGATTTTGCCCCCATCAACTGACTTACGTAGAGATCTAGGGTGAATAAGCTAATTGTTTAATTCTCTAGTTCAAAAAGTAGGAACAATGCTTTTCCATAACACAACCAAGTACCGTGAAGAGTATAACCCAGAAGAAATAACGACCGCCTCAACTTACCCAAATCTTTGCGTTGGCTTTAGTTGCTTCTGCTTTAATGTCAGCAATCAGAACGGATGTGTTATAAGGACGTAACTCAACGTTGTCTAAATGTTCCCTAACATCCTTGGTTAACTTGGAGTCTTCAACATAAACTCTGTACAAGAAAAAACATTCGTTTGACTAGGCAACGTTTTGTGACACTTCGCTAAGATACTGTTAACACGAATAAACCAGAGAAATCCTGATAAGAAAGCTAAAATGGGTTCCACTGTATTTTGATACAGAGAATTTCATCGTCCAACGACGCTTTTTGCGGAGAAGATGGTAGATATGAAGAAACCAAATTCTCCAGGACTTATTGGCGCTTTTATCTTAAGTAACAAACAATTTCTCCATAACCTTTCAGGGAATCAATTTCCTTCTCCGTGTTTCACTAATTCTAGGACTTATTTGTTTAAATTGCTTCTGGGTACAGCTCTATGAATAACCTACGTCTAAATTTCAGAAATTGCACAATACTTAACAACAATAACAGTTGCAGTCGAATGTTCAATCGCCCATTTGCGAATTACCCTTGGCCTCATTTTCAAAACGAGTCCGCGTGCTAATCCTTTCATATGATAATACGTTTCCATTCACATGCAAATCATACTCATTTTCACAAGAATGGTTGAGCACGAGAACTCGTTTTGAAAATGAGCCCAAGGGTAATTCGCAAATGGGCTATTGATATTTTCCCGGCAAAATCCAACGTCGGACTCACTTGACTTTGTCCTTGGTGACGATGACGAACGCGAAGAAGAAAGGGTTAGATGGAACATCTTTTCCTCTTAGGTTCAACAGCCCTAATAACATCAAATTACCTCATATCAAATCCCGGCATTTCATGTGCAAACCTCTCTGAGACCCCTCGCCGCCATCTTACATATTCGTAGACTTTCAAATACACGAATCAAATTTCAGCTGATGTTCGAGACTAAGGTTCTACTTCAAGATTGTGTTATGAACACGAAGGCGGTTGCAAACCGATTTGGACATAAATTCCGAACCCTATTACCCACAACAACGAGCATGGTCTCAGAAAAGTTTCAGTGAGACACGAAAATAATATACTTGTTGCACCTAAATAACAGGGGCCCATCAAATTGCGCTCAAAACTGCAATCCTGAGTTCGAAATGTACAAAAGGACAAAATAAATACATAAAAAGGCCTAGAACGCCTTAAACAAGAGAGGGTCCCCAAACACGCACTTTTTTCAAATACATGTAGCTGGATACACGTGATGTACACCAAAAACGCGTTTTCTTGGCATACAGTGACAGATTGTCTGTTGTCACTCCACCGATATCGGGTACAAAATTCAAATTTATTTATACAGGCGGACCAGAACAAGCCTCAGTTAGCTTCATCCCCAGTCTTTAGGGTCTATCTACCAGTTAGGGACTAAAAAATCACTAGAGCACATAAGCGCTGTGTACCATGAATCCCCCACAAGGAGCGTTTGATTTCTGTTAACCTCACTACAGCTACGTTTTGAAAATCCAATATCCAAGGCAAGTCACTTACAAGCCACTTCATCAAGTTTGTACACAATGAACGCCGTCGCATTATTTGAGGTCAGTTCATTTTGAAGATCTTTTATTTTGTCTTTCCACGACTTCCCTGGAACAAATTACACAGAAATATTCAAAAGATAAAAGAGGAAAGGTGGAGGAAAAGACCGAAGGAAACGAAGAAAGCAGACGTCGCGCTATGCTTGCTATTTATGAAATATAAAGTATTTTCAACCTGTGTACTGCATTTCCAGGACGAATATTGTAGCGTTGCTCAGAGGTGGTCTGCCTTCTGTCCATATTTGGTCAACCAGATTCCTGGAAACAGCCGTCAATGTTATAGTGGACTTTTCAAGCTCCTATAAGATTGAACGGCGAAAGCCATGTGAGAAGATGACAGGTCATTTTCATTGCGAATCTGATATCAAACGTTCCGAATTCAAACATTTGATGCGTGTTCGACTCTCAAAGGTTTCGGTCTTACTGATAAATGTCATCAAATGCACTAAAAAAGACTGTGCAAGGGAGGTGATCCTGACTGTATGTTGCCGGGACATAATTGACTTGAACGATGCGTAAACTACTCGTAGTATTCGACAAGTGTGTAGGTTATTTCCCTAAAGGTATCTCTTATTTCTACCTACCTTTTTCATGGTCTCGAACTTATCTGTAAAAACCAGAATGTTTAAAACAATATTAGCAATATCATTCGTATCAGCTGTATCTACTGTGTAACTTACTCCAGTTATCCTGAATTCCGCTTAACCAGTGGGATACCCCGTGACCAGCTACGTCCCAATTCCAAGCTTACGGAGAGCTCAGTTCGATTACGTGGCCTTGAAAATAGACCGAAGTAATGTCACCAACCGACTGCAAAACGAGGATATGGCTGGGAGCCAATAAGAACCCGAGCGATGCGCGTGGAGCGTGCATAGGAGCGGGTAACTATAAGGTAATAGGTTTGCTCTTTTCATGTTATTGGTGGAGGGAATAACAATATAATTGAATTCCGTATTACTTTGAATACCTCCATTTAAAAATGCTCTGAATGTTGCATTAATTTTCACAACTCACCGATGGAGAAAAGATTGGCGTCTACCCCAACTTTATCATTGGCTTTAAGTTCCTAAAAATTAATACCAGACAACAGGAACGTTTGGAGATATCTATTCTGGATATAATTAAGTTTCAAGAAAGTCATGGATTCTCAAGACATGTATCTCGTTATGATACCTCCCTTAAAAGCTCAAAGATACGTTGGTAAATTCCAAAAAGCAACGTTTGAACCAGACCGTAGGTGAACCCTTCTTAATGGTATTATTAACATTTGGTTCTATCGGCATATGAGGGTAATTAAAATCTAGAGGTAAGACTGCCTCTGAATTGTATTTTTGCAGTTGAACGAAAAGATAATTTTAAGAAATGTGGCATCTGAGAAAGAAAATTTTGGGGGCTGGAAAATTTGTCACCAAACCTTCCTTTAGCATACAAGAGAATGAATGCATATGTTCATTGAAGGCATGATTATAAAGAAAGGTACACCCTGGATTCGTATAAACTGGAGTGAATCATGAAAATCCACGTTCACTTCATTGGTGAAAAGATGGCTCGGAAAAAAAAAATGCCGTAGACCATCCCTTCTTATTTTGATTCTTGATAGAGCGAAAGCCTTTTGTGAGGACGTTGCTAAAAACCGTTATTCGTAGAGAAAAATCCCACCATCTAATTTTCTAATGGCGATCATTCACAAACAATAAGGCAGTGAGAATATTGGAAAACATGTAATCAAGTGATAATGGCGCCACCCCCAAAATTCTCGACATACAAGAATGGTAGAATCTCTTACCTTAGCTAGCCATTCTACTTTTGACGGCGTGCCTGGCATACCTGGAACAAACATGGATATTCCTTTCATAAATCAAATGCATATCATATGAAAAAGTAAGCTTGTTCCCGCACAGTTCTAAACTAAGGACTAGTACTTTCGGGTAACGCATTCGATCAAAATGTTTTGTGTTCGACTATATATATGTGTTGTGTCTAGACATTAAGGACTAAAGACAGCCTACCTTCTTTCATTAAGGTCCAATTGTCGTCCATCTGCATACCAGCTTGATTGAAATACCGACCATCAGTCCACATTCCAGCTTTGTTCACTGTTACTACTGCATCACCTACGAGTGACATATGATAGACTTAAGAGACAGAGGCTAACATTTGCCTCGCTCTCAACATGAGGCATCGTAACTCAGTCAGTGGTATTACCCAACAATGCACCGTTGATGAGTGAAATTTTTCCACGTTCTTTTCAGCAATTTATTGTAGGCAGCTCAGCTACAAACATCATGTCTTTACTTGTATACCATCCGCTGGCCGAAAGAATTATCTATTACTTTTAAGTGTGATCAAATATAGACTTTGAAAAACAATCCGATTTGTTTGCAGTTAGTTTGCCTGAATTTAATCTTTAAACAAATTTACAGATGGTCACAAAAAAACAGACTCTCGATCCACAACGGAAAAAGTGAGGCTATGCTCCTGTCCACAAAACCTTTAATCGGTCCCTTTCAAGAACTCCGATACTAAGAAAATAGTATCGATTTCGTAAACTCCACCCGCTGCTTAGGCGTGGAAATTGACAACAAATTGTCCTGGTCATCTCACATTGATGAAATATGTAAGAACTACACGAATAAGCTTGGAGATCTAAGCAGAGTTCCACGCCTCCCCTCTAAAGTACTCGAAGAATTTATTTTAAAACAGTCGTACGGGGAGTCTGTCAGGGATGCATTTTTTTTACCCTCTTAGGATATGTCTAGTGTGTGGTATTTGTATCTATCACGTAATTCGCATTCTTTACGTGTGTAATTAACCTTTATTCTATATATTCAATAGTTTTCTTGCCTTTTTTCTTGCACCTTGCATCCGTATATAATGAAGGATTCGGGAACGGTTACGAAGAAGTGAGGTGAAGGTTTGTGAGTTACGAGCGAAGAGCGTGGAAAAATTTGAGTCAACGGAGACTCGGCACAGTATCATTTCTGAGAAATTCATTCAGAACAATCGTTCCATTTCACGGTAGAAAACCATTTGCGGGGGAACGGGTGTGCAAAGAATCTACCAGACTGTGAGCTAAAGGAAGAAGAGATAGTAACTAATTCAATAACAAGTCTGAGCGAGTCAAGTTACGAGAAGTAAAAAGTTGAAAACTGCAAAGTTGTCAGAAGACGAAGCAAAGTTGAAACGAAGGAAACGAGCAAAGTTGAGAACTGGTGAGACAGGAACCTGGTTGGAGAAACGGGAGTTTGGTTTGGCAGGGCACTGTTTGTTGGTGGAGCGTGGTGATTTGTAGACAAGAGAAGAACACGGACGCGGGCGTAAGGTGAAACCTAAACGAACTGAACTGATAAAAAAAACCTACCTTTTTACCTTAATAATACTCTTGTAAATATAGTTAGCGCATTCTAGTTTTAAATTATTACGTTCTTGTAAACCCTAGTAAAGTAATTTAGGTAAATAATTCAGCAATTTAGTTTTATCGTATTATTGTAATTAGGGTAAATCATTTGTTTACTGTTTTTCTTTTTTTGTCGTTGTTGTTGCCATATTGTCTGAAAATAAATATTTCTAGGCCTACTTTTAGTTGTATTGTGGCGTGTCTTCTCGGGCATGTTTTTTTTGTGTTTTGTGTATGTTGGAGGGCGTCCACCTTTGTTGCATTCCAGTAAGGGGTGGATGCACCGTACCGCTATTTAACAAATTAGAGGAGATCCATATAAAAGCAGCCAGGCTTATTCACGACCTACCACGCGACCGAGACAACACCGACATCTTACAAAAAAGCAACCTGGCTTCCATTATCATACATGTACAAAAAAGCTACACTAAAACACGTCCACCAAGCTTTTTATCATGCTGGCCCAGCACAAACAACGGAATTGTTTTCTGCGAAGGCGACAATGTATAATTCCCAACGATCCAAACAACTGGTACTGGACAGACCCAAAAAAGAAATAGACTTTCTTTTCGACACAAAGGAACTATGATCTGGAGCTCAATTCCCAATAGCGTTAAAGACTATGATAATGTCATTTCGTTCATAAATCGCTCAAAACAAATTTTCCAAATTTATTAATAATTTCACCTCTGAAAAGGAGAGCTCTTGGATCACAAAAAATTGGATCACTTTTATTATTACTGATATTTTTTTAACTTTTTTTCTCTTTCGCACATAGTATATTAGGTTTTCCTTTAGATGCAAACATTGTAAATTAGTAACTCGGGTCCACATCGGCTAACGGCTTCCAGTTTTTTATACCTGCGAGATCAAATAAAGTATGTATGTATGTATGTAGGTATTCTTGGATGGAACAGTAATATATTTCTAGACAGCCTGTATTTTTTGGAGCCGAAAATTAATATATTTTAGTCACAACCAAAAAAAAATCGGATCATTATTTTCTTAACCACCTCAGCGGGAAAAAATCTTTAATCTTCTGATCGGCTAAAGGCGCACTCGTAACTGGTCCAAATTTTTTTTTTATAAGGTCCACAGTCCGGAGTTTTTTTCGCGCCACTAGTGCCAAAGCAGGGATAGGAAACACGATATTTTCTAGATATTATAAACTGAGCCAGTTTATAATCTCTTGATCCTATATAATGGTGTACTACTAATACTTGCCGGCAGAGCCTGTGAACCCGGATATGTATGGACGTCGTTGAAAGTGACCTGCAACGTATTCACTCTGAAATATATAAAAGAGAGAATATGTGTTGCACCGCTACCTGTATCCGCAAAAGGTGACGTAGTCACAACACAGGCGTAAAGTTGCAAGTTAAATCGCTCACCATGTGCTGGTCAACAGAGGGGATAATGTACGCCTGTATGCCCTCAGCCCTCATTTTCTCTCGCAGCTGCTTCAGACGCTCGCTTGTATTCACTTTGGGCAGAGCTGGGGACGAAGCCTGAAATTAAAAGATAGTCGCAAAGTAAAGCTGCGTTGGTGGATAAATACAGTCGTGTTTTGTATTTTCATTTAAGCATTAAAGAAGGAAACTCAGAAACAACATTGTATTTATCTCGTGTTTACCAAACACGCTTTTCATTTTCATCAGAGTTAGATAAAAAATAACCAAGATTTTCTCTCGAAGTCTTCCACTGGGGCGTTAAGCAAAGCTCCCATTCAAACTTGAGAAAAAGGGGGGGAGACAGGGAGAGCGTTGCATGAGGTAACGGCAGCTAAGGTAACAAGAGATCATTCCACACCAACGACAATAATTAAAAAAATGTCGGGCTGCGCTCTAATCCCCGATGAAGACGGGGTGGTAATATGAAGTATTCCCGTCATCCACTATGTATTCGAATGATTCTCTTCGCTTATCATTAGGAAAACAGAGCCCTGTTCCTTAAAATGATAAAATTATTGAAGATCAAAAGTCAATGAAGGCGTGTTGCACTTAGCTTATTAATTAAGACTGACAAGCGAAGTCACGGAAACTGTCGTTTGAACACCGCCAACGCTAGAAAGAGTTCACAATTTTTTGTTTTCGATATTTTGCGAGGAACAAATTGCCAAGACCTTCGCAGTTTCCAAATTCTGTGTTCACATCAAACTAATACGTTCCATTCAAAACTTTGCTGAAGGGCCGATACGTTAATCACCAACAGGGGTGGATCCAGGTTTTGAAGTGAGTAGTTTGCTCCCGAGGAGACACTCCCACTAGGAGTGCCCCCCCCCCCGAGAAAATTTGAAATTTCGAGCTCTCTAAATGCCATTTCCTGCATTTTCAGATAATTTAATTGCACTAAAGAGTGCAAAATAGTTTTTGCAAAAATTTAAATTAAAATGTTTCCCATTCTCATTCTCCTAGGGTGTATCTCAGCAAATAAATCTATTATGCGGTCTAAATCAAAATCCATGTCTCTGTGAGCATGCATCAGTGCCAGTCCATTAAGTCTGTCCTGGGTCATAGTATTTCTTAAATAGTTCTTAAGATTCCGAAGGGATGATATGGATCTCTCACAAGATGCAGATGAAATTGGGATAGTGATCAGGACTTTCAATATGGAATAAATATTGACATATGCATCTTTGTCAATATCCTCCAGTGTAGCCTCCAGACTGTCAGGAATTACATCTCCTCTGTGATCCCTTCCCTTCCATAACCTCTCCCATAACAAAAGCTCTGCCTCTACACCTGCATAATTTGGCATGTCCTGCCTGTAATGGATACAAAATTCCAATACATTAGCCTTCCAATCAGGGTCAGTAGCCAGTAAAACAGAGGGAATAATTGAAAGACCTTTGTTGCAAACAAACACATCATCCTGAAATCTGGTGTTGAGCTGCTGGAGAACATGGTCAAGAAAAACTCTAGTAATATTGAACTTAAAATAGTCCTCAGGAGTTGCAGCAGGAGCATTGTTCCTATGTATCTGTCTCTGAGCTACTCTTGGCATACCTGGCTGGACTCCTACTTGTCTTGCAAGGGCCACTGCTTCCTGGTATAGTTCATGGTGTTTGTCATCAATGTTGGCACTCATTTCTCCAAGGACTGATTTCAAAAGAGCAAGTTGATCTTTAGCTTTTAGGAGGTCCATAGCTTTCTGTTGCAGTTTCACTGTCAGAGGCCTAGTTATGTCTGACAATAACAAGGGAAACAATAAAGGAAAAGTTGATTGCATTAAGTAAGGAATGAGCATCTTGTCTGCTGGTTGGATTCCAAGTTGAGTCTCCAGGGCTGTTTCTGTTCATTGAAATGTCTTCAAATGTACCTGTAACTGGGTAGAGAAGCTCAACTATTCTGTCCATTCCATCAATCCGTTCAATCCATCTAGTGCGGCACACATCAATCAAAACAGTGTGATTTGCTCGAGGCAATAGTTCTCTGATCTTGGCTAATAAATGTCGTTGTCATTTGGGAGAGTTGTTAAGAAAATCACAAATCTTACGCATAATATCCATCATGTTCCTGACAATTGGCAGTTGGCAGGTGTTAGCGATGCACAAATTAAGCCTATGGTTCCTGCAGTGGACATAGATTGCCTTTTCATGTTCTGCCCTGATCAACGAGGAAGCCCCATTTAGTCGTCCAGCCATATTGCCTGCACCATCATAACACTGGCCACGACAGTCCTCCATTGTCAATCCTAAGTCTCCTACAGCTGGAATTATAATGTCTTTAATGACCTCACAAAGGTAATAGCCAATAAATTATTCTCTGATTGTCTTAGTTGTGTCCAGAAATCTAATTACTACAGAAAGGTTTTCCTTATTTGAAATGTCAGCTGCTTCATCTGCCATAACCGAAAAATGTTTCCTATTCCTCATTTCCTGTGATAAATTATTCATTATATGAGCACCAACAGTTGTTATCATTTCATTCTGGATAGTTTTTGAAATATATGTGGCATTTCTAGGTGCAGTGTCCAGGTGCTGCTGCAGTGTTTGGTCACCACTGTCTACCCGAAATTCTATCAGTGCCTGGAAATTACCGGCAAGGGCAGCATTAGTGGGGTCATCATCCCTACGCCCCCTGAGTGGAATGTTGTTTTTCTCACAGAAAATGATTGTTTTGAAAAGAGACTTAAGAATCTCTCGATTTCTGGCAACTTGCTGTTGAACTATGTGATTCTATAGAAAAATTCACTGCCTGACGAGTGAATTCCACGTTAGATTTCACGCGAAAAACCGATATCGCACGAATCGCGAAGCGATGAGTGCGATATCGATTTTTCAAGTGAAATTTAACGTGGAATTCACGAGTCAGGTAGTGAATTTTTCTTGAATCGCATAACTGAATAAAAATAAGAAAACAAGAAATTAAAACGGCAATGTTATTGTTTGTTTTTATTCCGTACGCGCGCCCTTAAGAAAGCCATTTTAAAGTCAACTGTCAGAACTGTCATTGTTAAGGGAATGGAAAGCAAGGTAAGTCGCTCACGTTTGAACCGTCGACAATTTTAATTGTACCTCGTGAATTTTTCTTGAATCACATAGCTAAAGCCACCAAATCACTGGGCGAAACCAGATGTTTTGTATTTTTGTGCGCCACGCCAGTGCGCAAACAATGGAAACCCTTTCAAAGTCAGGTGTCAATATCTAGCGAATAGAGGGAACAAGATATTTTTAGAATGAAAACCACTTTTATTTCAAACTCGTGGAGAAAGCGGTGCCTCACATTTTACAATCTTCAGCAAAAAAACTAAAAGTACACAATACGGAGTTATTTAAGACAGAGATTTGCCTGCTACCACTCAACTTGGCA